CGAGCGGTGCGCGCGCCTCACGCAGGCCGCCGCGCTGCTGGCGCTGGACGCGCCGGCGCACGCGCGCGACGCGCTCGGGCCCGCGCCGCGCCTGCCTGCGCCCCGCGCCAAGGACATACTCGCGCGCAGGTACGCACCATCGGTCTCTACCATTTCTACTTACGACATCTTAGGTCCCCTACATGGGCAAAAAATGTCGAAAAAGTTCCTACCTATACGTAGTCTCATATAGTAATTGATAATTCAATGTATTTCAAAATTCATAAATATATAATTGTATTATATAATATATAATTATATTGAATTATCAATTACTACATCAATTATCTCAACAAAACGTTTCTTGTTTCAGAATTGACTTCAAAATGGAAGACATCAAGCGTTTGAAGCTATAGTATATATTGTTGAGTTGTACATACGTGTTAAACATTAAACTATCAATATATTAAATGCATTTAAAATAAATATATTTACTATTATGTTATCATTGTTGTATTATTAAAACCTGAACTGTACTAATAAATTTTTAGAAATCTAGTGTGATGTGATTAAAACAAGTTGAAATAGTGTATGTGCTATATATAGAGGTGGTGACCATGTTCTCTCATTGGATCTGCATAGCCCTTGTTCTATTATATTTACGAATTCCTTTTTTACCATTACAACTCGATGTGGTGGGATTGGTTGAGTTCGACCGTACTAGTGGTCCACGGGTTTCAATTCACTGTATGACGTTGATATTGCTCTATAATAGAATATTAAAAGTATTTTTGGTAATGGCATCACACACCAGATACAGACTGACTGAAATCACATGTATCATAATAACATATTTTTGTAATCCTCCCATTTGATTTAACCACTTGAATGCACCGATTTGAGACACAATAGAAACTACATTGCGTCTCGCGTGAATCCACGTTTAGACACACAACGGGTTAATTCAATTTTTAAAATGAAATACAGTATAATAATTAACACATTTATTCTCGAAATATATTTAGTAACAGTTTAATACAAAGCGATGATTGATAAAATATAGTTATCTATTAAAAAACTGTAGAATATTGTGCATAACAAAATATAGAAGTGACCAATGATTATTATTGATATTAAAATCGTAAGGTAATTTGATTATACCATCATAATTAATTATTTATCTATTTATATTCATCAGAAAATATGTGATATAATACATATTTGGATCATTTATATAATTTAATTGATATGAGATAATTATGTTAAAAGTATTTACAAAATAGGTACAGAGGTTTCGTAAGGCACCATTATTTTTCGTGAATTCTTATTATAATAAAACGCAATACATAATTAATTACAGATAAAAATTGTAAATGAACAGTAAAGTTTCAAGAAATGCATAGAGATATCGATTGTTTTTTATTCATATATTTACGACAAAAATTTTCGTAAAAGATGAATTAAAAATAGTAACAAGGTAAATTATTATGGTTACATTTCTATTGCATTGAGTATTTCCTGTGTATAAAGAGGTATATAATGTTAAGTGCGACTTTAGTTTACAATGCAACCGGTGACAATTATTTTTCATTTATTTATATCAAATATAAACATAATTATTATATTAAAAATACAAATATGGCAGCAATACTTAAGAAATACTATTTTTAATTTTTTATACATAACAATACATAATTGTCTGTTAGCCATGATTATTTTTAGACGAAACAGATAAGTAGAAAATGATGATAAAATTGATAACTTAGGTACATATATCTAGTAACAAGTTCTTATTAACTATTATTAGAAGTCAGAATTAGACTCAAATAATTAATCTTAAAACAGGAGAATTTAAAATATAAACATTGAAGCATTCATCTCCTTTCAAGAACAATAATCAATTTGACCTGTGAAAAATATATTGACAACTGTATTCTTACTACATACCCGGTATGATCCACTTATTTCGTTGTAAATATATTATATTTTTTATTAACTTTTAAAACTACATTAAATTGCGTTCCTAGACTTAATTAGTTCGAAGTTAAAATGTAAAGTTCAATTATAAATTCATTGTTAAAACTTAATAGTAAATATGTATAAATAAAATAGTATACATATGTACCTCATAGATAACTGTAATTAGTCAGGTGGTTAATTAAAACTTAACTACTAAGATAAGATTAATTTACACAAATATTAGTGAATACATTAATAAAACTGATATCTATTTTAATGGCTTACTTAATAATGTACCATTATACGCTCCGAAGAATCATTTCGACATAAAGGACATAGAAAAATTAAATGACTAGTTAAATTCAGTGCGAAGTGTAGGAAAGTATTAGGCATTACCGCCGCATACTGAGACATTTATTTGTTACTTAAACTGTGCCTTAGTAAAGATTTTGACTGGGTTTATTATAAATGAGTCTGAGTGCGGCGGTTAAATGCAAGAAACAAATGAGTAGTTACTACGTTTAAACAGTTATGACGTCAGAGTTGCCAGTGCTGTCAATATGAGACTGGCCGTATAGTACACAATTAGGTACGCCATTAAAAAAATTCTAGAATATTTTTAAATACTGTCAAAAGTGACTTGTAAATACTTCGCGTGTTGATACAAAATACTGAACATTTCATTCATAACATAGTGCATATGTATAATTGAAGCAAATATACTACTTATGAACACAAGGCACAGTGTATAAGGCTCATTTTAAAGTTATATCTGGACGTGTACAAATATAATACATAACATTTACTTAATATTAATATACTAATATAGTATGTCAATTAAATATTATTAATACACAAATTAATATTCATTGTCCATGTCATATAATGCTTATAAGTGGATAAAAGTATTAAATATAAAAAATATACATAAAAATAAAAACTTTTCAAAATGTGTCATGCTTACATTTCCTTCAGATCACCTCTTGAGCCGTCACACCCTGTAGATAGGTACATATTCTTTGGTTACGAAGTTAACGCTCCAATTTTAGGTATTATAATACAAATCAACAATTAATAGGTGTCCATAGCACATTGTGATCATTCATAAATATTTATAAAACAATTTGAAATTATTGTTATTTGATATGCATTCTTATCTCGACGACATAAGTGCGATAGTAAATGTAAAATTAAAAAATACTGCTAAAGATTTGATTAAGTACATGGTTTTTGTTCAGGCTTAATCTAATGAATATAGCTTAAACAAACAGCTGACATACGGACAGAGAAAGTTATTGAGCTTATATTGTGACCACAGATATTAAAACCGATTTTGAGCTAAAAATGTGGAACTTACTTTGCTGGCAACAAACATTTCATAATGGCAATACATATTGTGTTAAGTTTCTTGCTCAATATTATTTACAAATGACGTCGCAACACTAAACAACTAACAGTGCAATACGGTGCCAATTCAATATCTTTTAACTTGCGAGAACTTTTCTACAATGTATGTGAGCAATTCGCAGAACTTAGAAGAAATGTATAAAGCCCACGAATAAAGTAAGTACAAGTTTCAACTTAACAACTATCTTCACATGAGCACGTTTATACTTCCCGGCTGATGACTTGCAGGACTAGTGTGTGAGCCTCATTAGTAGCCAATCCGGGGAGGAGGTGACTCGACGGTGGAGGTCTGCTTGGAGACGACACGGGAGCCCTGGGCCAGGCCACCGTCACGCACCGCCTTGAACTTCAGGTACGCGTCCACCAAATACGCCAACATCGCCACGAAACCGAAGAACTGAAAATATACCTCAATCATTATACAATTTCTGTACTCTGTAGACTTGTAACTACACTGTGCGCACCACTGCAGGGTAACTGACTGTTCAAACAAACAAAGGAAATAGTACACAGTTATTGGGTGCTGTACACTTGCTGCATGTAAAATACTGGCATCAGCAGAATGGCGTATACTCCATACCCACCCCAAATAAAAAAGATGATAATAAAAGAAAAAAGGTATAAAACTCACCGCAGCAGCAGAATGAGGGTTATCATGAACAGTTGTGGCTAGAATAGAAGCAATCAGGTACATGAGCGTCCAGATCGCGCAGAACAGGAACTCAAGTTTCAGCCAGGGGATCTTGTAGAACTTCTCCAGGATATGGAAGAGGTACAGGCCGAGCAGAATCCCGGTGAACCAGAAGGCGATCATAGAGATCCAGCTGAAGAAGGAGCCTTTACTCCAGCTGCTCAAGCGCGAGCACTGGATGCATATGAACCCGAGGAGACTGCATAGCTGGAATGTAATTATTATTATGAGTATTATACAATCAATAAAAAAATATTTTTGGTTATTGAGTACCTAATTGAGTGATGGACTTCTGGGTACTTTTCTTAGAGTAGCAGAGCACTAAGAGGGAATTGCCTGGAATTGTCTAGCAGCCGTGGGGCGCAGGGCGAAAGCTACCTATGGGTGGGCCATTAGAAACGCGCGAACTGTTACGTCAAAGGAATATGACAATGCCGCACAACTCTATGCGAGTGTGAGTGAGAGATCTGATAAAAATGACTTAATGGCAGTTCGTACGTTTGTAATAGCCCAACTATAGCCATTTATTCATATAAGTAGCGTCAAGTTTATGGTGGGGGTCGGGGGTCCTTTGTTTTTATTGTTTTTTATTAATATCATGTTGGTCTTGGATAGTGTTTTAGCGCATTTTCTAAGAATAGGTATCTACCTATTACCCAGTTTAAATAATCAACTCCATTGCTAGCATTGCAAAATTTTAATTTTGATTTATTGATAAAAATAAATTTTAATAGGTAATAATATTCATTCGTACATACCTAATGACTTAAGTAATTGATAATTATCAGAGAACCATGACACGACGTCCTTAAAAAAATGTGTTTTTATAATAGGTAGGTACCAATCTATAGAAGTTATCGTATCAATGAAAGATTATTATTTTTGCAATATGTGAAAATGACTACACAATATCCGGCCGCGATGTCCGTTCACAATAGTTACAGGTAACTAGGTACCTGATTCATTGCAGTCGGTAAGGAAAACTAAATGGTTGGCCGTTGTATACTTAGGAAGTAATTCTGTTTGCGAACAGTGAGAAACTGTCGAGGTAAATAAATATAACTCATAGAATGATGAAGAGGTCTGAGGTCATAAGTATCAAGTGTAGCCTGTAGTGTCGGTAGCATAACATCAAATACCATGACAGTATAGTCTGAAGATATTGTTTGTTTGTTTGTTTGGCGAACATCCTCCATTTATCCTCTTAGTTATTGGACCAACTGAATCGCACTACAAAATGTTTGCATCGCTTATCAATAGAATTCGGTATTTTTCGGCATGACGTCGTGCGTGCACATAATATTCGTTTAAATTTATATTAAAAGGTCGTCAATGCGACTACTGACGAATATTTCGGGTAAGGTTTTTCTTATCCTTCCTTCCTATAACATGTTTGGTAACTAGGCTAGGCCATAACATAATAACTAGTGGAGTAGTAAATGAAACTATACAATACATAGTAGAACTTTTCTCAGTAAATTCACGTTGGTAGACTGTTATTCTCAATTAGCGTAGGATATGTCTAAGTTGACTAGGCACTCAGGGAAATACCTAACAATAGTTAGTTTCTTATGCTTGAGAATGACTAGAAGGACACGTCACAGTTGACTGAGACAGTATAAGTAAGTATGCCGTCATTTTACAGTGTTGAGTCACAATGACGCGCCAAACCCCTTAGGTCAGTCTTTCCCAAATGATCGGCAACGATCAGTCATACCGAACCACGATAGCGGATAGCCAAGTAATGGGCTGAACTTTGTAGCGTTATCTCTTATGATCATATCGATAAATGACCAAGTTGTTATTTTTACATACCAATTTGAACGCTACGTTGTCATTAACTAAAATCGCGGGTTACTCACGTGAATATACTGAGAACTCTACTAGTTTCTTCCTCATGAGGAAGAACCCCTCTGTGGTTCGAAACTAGTAGAGCTTTTCTCAGTATATTTACGTGAGTAACCCGCGATTTTAGTTAATTTAGTATATCTCAAGATAGCTACGTTGTCATAGTACCTATGAAGTGAATCTTGTGTTCATGTGTCCAGCATATAATTTTCAGTGTTGAGAAGCAACTTCAGTGTATTATAGATGTTTTAGTAGGTCGAAGACGACAATTCTACTATTTTAGGCAAGGACATTAATGGTTAGTTACGTCGGGGTGTCCGCGAACGATGGTAGGTTTGAGAAAAGGTTGCTTTTAAATGATAATTAAATAATTAATGCATACCCTAGCACGTCTGTGTAACCCTAAGGGGTGGGGCGTGAACGTTTAATTAACAATATTACGTAGCTACAGTTGTATCGCATGCTACTTACTATACTGGGTATATAACTCGTCGTTTATAATGGCTGCGATATGATCACATCGATAACACGACGCGGCGTGGAATTACATTGAAAAACTTGACCTTTTACCGTTTTACTTCAAACCCAAGTCAGGTGGTATAACAGAACAATGCCCACGTTGGCTACTCGTATTGATTAGTTCGCTGTGCGAAAATATACAAGGTTTACTGCGTTTTATGTATGTGTATTGTATTATGGAGTCTATGCTATGTGTATTCTATTCTGCTGTTGCTTTTATTTTTACTAGCCTTTACCCGCGGCTTCGCTCGCGTCACAAAAGGATAAAAAGTAGCCTGTGACATATACCAATACACACAGCGCCATCAATACCAATACTTTTGTTTTCCCTCGAGAATATAAATTTTTTTGCGGGATAAAAAGTACCCCATTATTTAATCCGGACTTCTAACTTTACGTCTACAAAAATTCAAAGCAATCGGTTTAGTAGTTACGGTTACGGCGCGAAAGCTGAACAAACAAACAAACTCACTTTCCGATTTATAATATTAATAAGGATTTTTAATCAAAGCAAAAACCAGAAAAGGGCTAACATCCAAAAATGGCCAACCACCTGGAACAAGCGTGGTGATTATCTAATACTGATACTGAACCACCTCCGTGTAAGATGAAGCCTTTGCAGTATGCACTTAAAATATCCTGATGAGTTGATGTAAATATAGGGTTTATAAAATGTAAGGTTATCAGCGAAAAATAAAAGAAGAGGGAAAGCAGGATATTTTGACTACCCAGTTTTCGCTCCTGAGTTTAAATTCCAAGGTCGATCAAGGACTTATTGGGTTTTTTAATAGATACTGAATAGCAATAAATAGGAAATCAGCGATTTTGATTAGATTACGTTAATTAAATAGGTCACCCTTGTAAATAAACATAACAAGTTCTGAGCGCCGGGCGGAGTAAAGTGTAAGTTCATCTTTGGGCATGGCAATGTGTGAAGTGTAGTATATGTCACATGGTGAATGGAATAAGTGGGAATATATTATTGTAGGTACTTACAACTTGTACTATCTTCAGTATCCCTGGGATGGTCGTTATGTAGGAGCGGTCGAACCGTATATTGGTCTGCACCGTGGTGCTGGACGTCACTGTCGTCGTCGTCGTGTGCTGACCAGGGAAACCTCCTTCAACCATCTTTGATTACCTGGAAACAGAATTAGATTCAGTTCTATTGTAGTAACTTGTAATAGTAGCTTTCCGATTGCAGTTAGGTACTTAAATATAAATTAAACAATTTTGACATATTTTGTTCACCAATTGACATAATTAAAACTGTTTGACTTGTGATTTTTAAATTATTATTTTTATTCATTTACATTATAATTTTTTTTTGTCATTCAAACTTTGACATTTGATTTTGTATAATTATTGATTGTAGATTGGTATTATCTGCCTAAAGTAATGATTTAGTACGCCATCAATGGCAAAACATATAGACTCTGTACTAACCAAAAAAAAACACCTTCATTGTAATTACTCATGTTTTACTAAATAAATATATCTTTATCTTTATCTTAATAAAAATAGCAGAAAATTCCGTTCTGCAGTTTTTGAGTTTAGCGCGTACACGAACACACGGCACGGTGCGAATACATTTTACATGCACTGAAAGGTATTTTTTTTAAGGGGGGAAAATCTTCGAATGACTGCTCCCGCCTGGGTGAGGCGGGAGGGAGTGTCAGACTCTTACTGATTAAAAACCACCCCGTTCCTTGTCCTACACGTCGAGCCGGAACCCCGGTTACCCGTTAGGTTTTCCGCGATGCACTGAAAGGTATACTATTCCCACATGTATTCAGTTATGTACATAGTGTTGAGAAAAAACAATTTGCCTTTTTTTATGAGTAACTAATGTGATTTTAGACAACAGAATTTATCAATCTATTAACTAGTTATAAGAAACTTTTAAGGGAAAGCTCTTAGAAAGTAAATAATCCATATCAATGGGATTAATGTGACAACGAGATAAACGATAGCTTATATATTTACTTAGTGAGGAAAACAAATAATTACACTTTAGAAAATACAACAGATAAGATAAAGCAATGACATGAATGATATCTACCACATTCCCTGTAGATAAACAGTGAGACAATTTGGCAAATTTAAGTTTACAATTAACCCTACCATCAGTAATACATCTAACAAATTATTAGTTTCACAAAAATTTTAATAAAAAATAACCATAATCAGTGTATACCAACAAACAGAGAGATAATGTAAAATATAAATGTATGTAGATAAAACATTATTAGTCACTAACAGCATATTGCTTGATAACATAGAGTATCAATTACAGAGAATTATTTATCCTGCCACATATTTAAAAAAAAATGTTTGGCATTTATTAGGCAATAAATGCTCTGCCCAACTACTATTGATTGTAGCATGATGTATTATAGCCTATAGCCTCCCTCAGAAAAATGGACTCTCTAACATAATCTAACAAATTATTTAATTCCGACCAGTAGTTTCGGAGCTTAACACATTTAAACAAAAAAACTTATGAGCTTAATATGTATGTATAATAGTATAGGAATTAGAAATTGTTTTACATGTCTTCCCAATTTAAAAGATAGCAAGATACCTACAAATACTTATTAAGTAAAGAAATGTAGATAAGCTTTATGATCAACAAATGATATCTTTTTGTATAAGTTATTATCAAAACATTTTGTAGCTTTTATCATTTATGAAATCACTGACTGATTACGAGTGAGACATTTAACACCAATTATTGTGGCTATTGTTTTAAAGGGTAAGCGTCTAAGCGAAGTTGATTGCACAAATGGTTATAATATTGTGTAGCTTATAAATAATAGAAATACAGATTATAATCGAGTATTAAAATGGCTTGTCTATTAATAATTTACCTATAAATTGACCTATTTTTAAGTATATCAAAGAGATCTAGTCTATGGGTACTTTTAACTATCTATGCACTACACTTATGGGTATGAAAGTGTAGTTTACTTCAAGTTAATATTGAAAAGAGAAAGTTGTTTACATAAAACATTTACTGTGCTTACAGTGAAAATGTTTGAGGGATAAAATAACTACTACACTTTTAATAGATCTGTAGTCGATAGGCAGCTAGGTATTAAAATTTTATTAGGTTTTATGAACACATGATATAGTTAATATTAAGAATATTGTATCATCACATCAATAGGATTACAAATAAAAATTGTTGCGACACACACACATTACTGTGGCGTAATCTTTACAGTCATAATAGCAGTGGGCGAGGGAAAATAATATGTATAGTAATCCACTCTGCTGATATAGCCATTTGATAAAATTTGTGGGTGTATGGTTCCAAACATCGCTGAAATGAACGCGTGCCACGATTTTACTACCGAACACGTTGTAACATAGTAACACGCCTGTCATCATCGAAAATAGCGATTATTGAGCAACACACAACAGAAATAAACACAAAATTAACACAAGATTTTTTATAAATACCAAAATGCTATTTATATGAATAATTACCTTGATTTAATGTTCAATTGTACACACACTCACTTTTTGTTACAAGCACTTGTATTAAAGCCTGATAGGGTCAAAAATTAAATTGTTAGGTGTAAATTAATATCAGGTGATAGCCGAATATGACCAACCAAACCATGAAACCAATTTGAATACGATACGCGACAAGCACAGATGTCAGACAAGTCAAACACTCAATTAAAATGTTCAAATTGACGTTTATATAAATTAGCATCCAAAAAACCAAGATAGCAATAAAACCCTACCTAGTAATATTGATTAAAAAAAGATAGGAGACCCAATTTTATGATTAAGGTTACATACACACTACATGGGGGACTGGAACGCTTCGACGTACGTGACATGAATCGGTCTATCGGTCTTTAAATGATCGGTCTAATACTTCTATACGAAATTTAGTATGCTTTTTTTGTTCCAAAAATCATTTATAACAAAAATAATGATTGAATATCAACCTTTATAAACGTAATGCTGCAATTATAAAATAGACTTTGTTGTAAAAATAAACGAAATTATTCATCATTGTGATTAATAAAATTCAATAAGATTGTGAGTAAAATTGCCAGTTTTATGTTTTGAACAGACTTGACTCTCATTGACAAAATGACATTGACACATGTCGGATAATTTGACATGCTTAGTGAGGTACTGATGCAATTCCTAATCGATTGCAAGGAAGACAATAAAGTCATCAACAATAAAATATAAAAATTTTGTTATTAACATTTAAACATAAAATTGAGATTTCATTTCTATGCTACATTGACAATGCAATTTCATTGTATTGGTTCTGTATTTGACATTGTATTGGTTCTGTTTTTGATATTTTTTGTAATGACCACTGATCTTGGCGCTTACTCTTGAAACCAATCTCAATGTCAATACAATTTCAATCCAATAAAATCTCAATAATTATTCAATGTCAATACTATACAACCCTTATCGTAACTGTTAAAATAGTATTCAGAGTACGGAATATAAAGCCAAACTCAATAACATTTAGTTCATTCAATATCCACGCAATACGGATGCAATAGGCGCTAGTGTTGCATCTCGAGAGTACGAAATTTCACAATACCAATGTCGATCGATCGGAATTGGATTCAAGAGTAAGCCCCCTTATCTATCATTGGGACTACAGCCAATTGCTACGAATCTTACATACTTCTTTTGCTTCCTCACTAGTCATCAGTCTTTTCATGCATGCTTGTTGGTTATGAGTAGGTACTGCAGCGACACATGACACATGACAATTGACAGAAGTCAAATGACGCGCTTATAGGATCCACTGGGATCCACGAGCAAATCAACATGACGAATCAAATTCTACACCACACATTGAAGCCTACATGCAAATTGCGAAATATGAAACATGGATAGAAAATCATCTCACCTGGTCAGAAGATCTTCCTTTTCCTCTAAATCTTAGGAAACTCTACTCTTTGTTCCCTAAACTACTTTTGATTGATGCCTAATAGAATTATTGGAATATCAAATGTGTTATAGAGATTGTTACATCGTTAACATTTATTTTAAGATTATATTTATCTACATATTTGAATTCTTTAGCAGTTGGTTAGTCTAGTTAGTTAAGATGATAACTTATGACTAACTGAAATCTAAATAGCCTAACACCAAGACTTTAAGAAAATATAATCATCCAAGCTATTTAAGAAAATATAATTAAGTATTAGAATTTTAAATAATCCATGATTTCAAATTACTAAGTGTCAATTTAAATCACATTTAGGATTATTTTAATAATAGTATAAATATATATAGATTTAATAGAGATACAATTTCATATTAATCGATTTTAATTATTAATTCAATTTTATTAAAGTGTACGCGCAACACTACATAACTGTTAAGTTAAGTGCAAGACAAGACAACAACAGTACTAATAGACGTGCTCGAAAAAAAATGGCGGATTGCATTTATTCGTTTCGTATTATAGAAAAATTGAAGATTTAATAATTTTATCTTGGCAGTGGTGAAAGACATACGTGTTTGTGTTTTTTTTTTTCAAATTAAATATTTTTTTTTCAAATCTGAGTCGAAGCCATCCTAGTGTTGTGATACACTAAAAAACTATTGGTAACGTGGGCAAAATATTCACTAATACTCTTTTTCTTTAATTATATATTTTTTTCGGTGCATCTGCACTTTTTAATATGGATACAAAAAAACCTCCCGACCCTCCAGATAATATGTTTGAGTACACCCCTCTAATGACTATCACCGTCCCCAGCACCGATGATGCTGATAATAGTTTAAATAGGAAAAGACCTGCACATTCTCCACCAGTTACTATAAATAACCCACCCAAAGTGGCAAAAGTTAACGGTAGACAGTGCTATACACCCAATGACGCTCCTCCGTATATGAAAAAAAAAAAAAAAAAAAAAAAAAAGACAACAACAGACAGTGGCAGTGTTTTATTACGGCTTACATTTTATTATATTATTTATGTAAATATCTATCAAATATTAATAAAATACAATTATTTCAATGTAAAACGTCACGTCTGTTCTACAATATATGTTTTACAATAGTAATTACATGGCATTGATTACATACAACGACGTTTCGTATGAATAAACAAATAACACCCGCAAAGTTATGTATTACGGCTGTAAGACGGTGTTATTTAAAAATATGACTCACTGATGGTTTACACGGCTCGATATCGGTTAGAAATATAGTGTCAAGGCGACGGTGACTAAATCGTTACAGAGCTTCCTCGGCTCTCGGGCTCTCGGTTATCGCGAGACGCGATGTGGGTGTTTCAGTTTACGTGATTCTCTCCGTTGTGCTAGTGTACTGTGTGCATAATATTCAGCCTCTTTATTGCGCATCACACTACATGTGAGTACTTTTTATTTACTATTTTTTATAATTTTTAAAGTTTGTAAGTTAGTGATTGACTGACCAACAAGTGGTAAGGATTTATTTACAAAACTAATATTAAAAATAATATTGAACAACTATATGGACTCGAAAATGAGTTTGTTTTATTTTATAATCAATTTTATTAGAGTATATTCAACCATATCAATTAATGTTTCTGAGAACCTGTGGCTTATTGTATTTGATTAAAAATCAATAGTTTATTAATGAATGACAATAAAAATGTTTAAATTCAAGGACTTTCGGCAGATTGTTTATCTGAAATGTCTTGAGTATTGGAATCTTATCATTTATATAAGATATAGAAAAAATAAAAGAAAACTTCAAGATGGTATGCAAATCTATAATATTCTAGTGACAAATATTAATAACATAATATGTCTGCTTCAAAACCAGTTGTATAATTTTAGACCTACAAATACCCATACATATAAAATTTAAAAATTTAGAGAGGTGTAGCATGATACATAGAATCTGGCCAATCTTATAATTATTACTCATTGGTAACTAAACTAACACCATTGCATGTTACACTTATAAACAATACAACATCTTACAATAATGAGTCAGTTCTCACACATAAGCATGTTACAGGTATTCAAATACATAAAGAGATGACAACAATCTGCTCCTAGCTGTATAACTACTGATGATATTCTTAACAATATTGGAACATAACAATATAAGACATAAGCAGGACCAATACTGGTTTTAGAAACAAAATATAAATATGTATGAGTAACATATTAGTACCATAAGGTAACCATTATATTTACAAGTAGTCATTTATTCTCATGAATCACTATATTTTTGAATGATTCACTTTAGCTGAAGAAGATTAATATAGTATTTTATTAATTGGATTGGTTGCACAGCGTAAGATGTGCCGCTTGAAGTGGCGCTACTCCGGATGCAGAGGTGATTAATGAGCACCTCGAGGTCAAATTCATGGATCTATGTAATTGGAATGTAATTGGTGATAAGTGAATGATAACTGTGCTAAGTATCTTAGGGAGTCTAGTCAGAGGTCAACTTCAGTGAATATTAGATGGAATTATCTGATACATTGCCAAGTATTGTGTAGGGGCTTTTGTGTTACATAGTTTCTGTGATGGGATTGATAGGATTATGTATTATTTATACTGAATTATAAGTCTATAAAATCTTCTAATTTTCTTTGTAGTAACATAAATTGTAAGTATTCAACAAGTTCACACTTTTTAGTTGTGGAACACTAGACTAGATACTCAGTCAATTTTTGATTTCCCTACTTTTATTTTATTTATGAGTCATATGTTCCCATAACAGTAACACATGACATGTGTTTACTCATACACTGCTATAAATTTCTTAATCATTATTAGGAAATCTTAAGCACTTACTACTCGCAATTCATAAAATAAGACAGATAAGTAATGTGGTAGTCTGGTAGTGGTACTTAGTTTTGCGTTTGTTTCAGCTAAACGTGACCATGGCGTACCCTAACCAGCTGCCCCCGCCCCCGCCCCAGACTATGGGGTCCACAAACACGGTCTTCATCAAAGAGTTAAGATTCGACCCCTCGTATTTGAAGACTTTGCCAGGAGTACTTAAAGTTGTTGTTGTGGTAAGTTATATTAAGTTTGAACTTAAAATGCTAGTTATCACACCTCTTATTCCCCGAAGACAAAAGACGAATTCGAATTGATTTAAACTCCCAATTTTCCCCAGTTATGTTAATAAGAAGATAAATATCTAGAGGTTTCCTTATCTCTATATATGAGACAGAATTTCAGACCAAAATCCTTAATAACACTTCGCCCAACTTAGCAATAGAACCCTAAGCTCCTTGCTCGGTCGATTAAAGTTTAATTCTTCAAATAAATATTTAAATCCAAATGCGCCATTCTCAAGTCACCAACTCTAAACTCACGCATAACATTCAATTTGAGACTTGCAATTTGTACGCGTCACTGTAATCTCATTTAGTTCCGCTAAGTACTTAGTTCTGCAATTTTGTGAAGTGTCTTCAACGTACTAGGTCTGTCAGTAGGTACACAAGATCGGCACTCAACTAAACAAATATGTGTAAATGTAGGTAAACGGTCGTTAAGTTACGTCAATCGGTCATTATTTACACATTACTGACTTATCATACGTGTAGGATGGTTAGGTACACGATAACGTTTCACTTTGCTATTCAGGATATGGCCTTTGCTCATAACTTAGCAGAAGTTAAATTTAATTTTCAAATGCCCTTATGATATAAAAGCCAGTGTACTTTATTGTTTATCTGGGTTACGGAGTAAAGTACAACTTCAGTATTGGGGGCCGTTCAAATATTACATAAGCAGATCTATTATAATTATTTATCCCTCCCTCCCCCCTTGTCAGCAAAAGTAAGCAAAGCTCTTACCTCCTCCCCCTATGCCACGTAAACATTTTTCAATTTATTAATGTATTTTTAAATTCTTCAATTCTCTTAGATGCAATAATCTCTAATTCCTGTTCGGACTTTGCTTGTAATTTATAATTTCGCTACACTTCGTTCACTAACTTTTGCACATTTTGGATTTCAAACAATTTTTGGTATATCTTGGATTTGTCTATTGGAACGACATCTTATTTAAGCCTTTAACTGCCGACAAAAACTGTTAAAGGCCAATCCTCCGCTATCGTCGGACATCATTGTCCGACACGGCATCCAATGTGTTAAACGTAAACTTTGGCTAATGGAATCAACGGTAACACAAATGTTAACTTGCTTTACTATGCATTACAATACATCTACTCGCTAATTATCCAAACCAGACAATACACTGACAGAGAGAATTTAGACAAGTGAATAGCGCGCGGTAATTCCCCTAGTAAGTTCTAAGGCGAGTGTCTACACTGATGCATTATTTGCGGGAATCCCCGAGAATGCGTTTCGTTTTCAAGCATAGACAATGAGATTTGCCATTCGTGTAAAAAAGTACTACCGATGACGTAATTATAATCTACAGTCCTCTACCCCCATGTCATCCAAAATAAGCGAAACAAAGACCCTCCCCCCACCCCCCATAGTGCTTACGTAATTTTTGAACGGCCCTATTTGACGGTGATACGTCTCAAGTACTCGAGATTACATCGCGATCGTGCTCTTGTTCTATTAACCCTTGACCTTGGAGCTAGCAAACGGACGCGGAAATAGATTCAACTTCCAGACAATCAGTAACTCTGAAGCTATTTGAACTATTAACGAGAGTCAATAAAGTCAGCTTTAATAACTTGATAATTTTTTTCCGTTTTTAGTCCACCATAAAACCAGTCTAAGTCCTTGAAATCAGGAATACTATAAAGGTTTATTAGTACCTGATTTCTCTAGACTTATTACTGTTTTAAGTACGTTGTGCTTGTAGTGAATAATTATCGGACAGGTTTTGTATTCAGCTGCTATGGCGTCTATTAAAATGCCAAGCGGTTCCGCCAGGTGATCGGAACCCTTTTGTGCAGTTCTCGGAAGAAGAAACGAACCCGTTTTTTGCCAATACTGCTGTAAATAATTACAAGACTACTGCTGTGAAGTTAAGGAAATATTAGTCTTATTTTCATAATACTCTTTCTTTAAACAACATATTTTTTGCAGCTCTTCAACTTAATCGGCTTCATCTGCATTCAATCGTCCGCATTCTGGTCAAATGGTCGAGGAGTGTACTTCAACATAGTAGCTAACCTGGGGTTCTGGTTCTCCGGCATCCTGCTGGCGCTGTACCTGTTCCACGTGGTGGAGAAGTACCACAACATCAAGTGGCTGAAGATTGAGATGATCGCGTACATTGTGATGGTGTTTCTGTACCTGATTGCGTCTACTATTGTTGTGGCGTTTGGAGCTGCTGGGTACTCTGCTGCTGGGGTGAGTTTATTCATTATGCTGTTCAGTAGTGCCTAGATATATTTCATTGTTGTAATCAGCCTTCTTGTAATATTGGGAAGGGCCTTACAGTGACATTTCTCTACATTTCATTTAGTATTCAGTAGTTCGATAAACGCGGCGGTCTAGTAAATAAGTAGATTATACAAATAAAAGATTTTAGCATCCTCAAATTATAATACTCGCGCAAATATTCATTCTTATAAACCACAGTTGTCTTATCTTTAGACGTTCAAGACAAAAGTGGGAAATGTGACAGTGAGTCATCTGCATAATATTTATCTATAAGATGTCAGCACCAAGGCCTAAAATGTCCGCCTACTGATAGATCGCAAATTCGCAACATTATAGGTACAATACATTATTTGATCATAAAACTTGAACGAATATACCTATATAGTATACCTACCTAGTATGTCGCGGAGAACCTAACGGGTAACCGGGGCTCCGGCTCGACGTGCAGGAGAAGGAACGGGGTGGTTTTTAGTCAGTAAGAGTCGGACACTCCCTCCCGCCTCACCCAGGGGCGGGAGCAGTCATTCGATGATTTTCCCCCCTTAAAAAAAAAAAATACCTACCTAGTATAAATTCCTAACTCTATGTTGTGTTCTATGTTGATAGGTAATTTGGTACCAAAATAGTCTCTTTGCAATGTTGTTATTATCACGGCAGATTAACAGACAATAGAGATAGTCTCGAGTCTCGACGATGGTATCAGCCAGTAGCCACCTGTTGTACACTTTCAAAACAAAAGCGGACCGAAGCCGACTGGCACACAATAGCGAGCCGTACGTGACCAATTTATCAAATACCTACATTTAATAATTTGTTATTCTCTCTACAGAGCCAAGTAGTTGCATGTTGCGTTTGAATATATAGTATTAGTATCAAACTAATTAAAATAAGGTAAATTGTTAATTTTATTTATATCCTCGTAGTTATACTTTTAGGTAGTAGGTACCTAATAAATACCGCTGTGATAATAGATTTTCCTTACTTCCATTGATAGGTAAAAACCTATAATACCCATTTATTTTTAATTATGCGGTTATAATATCAGAATTTATATTATTTAATGCATATAAGAGTAAGCTGCGCGACATCGGCGCAACCCGCGCACTCTGCTCATGAGGAAGACCCCCTCTGTGGTTCGAAACTAGTAGAGCTTTTCTCAGTATATTCACGTGAGTAACCCGCGATTTTAAGTTAACTTTATTTAACGTTAACATTATGTATAGTAGGTAGTAGGTACTTACAAGCTGCCCACGACACAGAAAACTTTATAATGCCATAATGAAGTCATAAACAGCCTATAATATGACGAATGTGCTCCCGTTGGCTTCTTACGTTTCTCTACGCAGTCTGCATTGATAGAATGTTAATGAAGGACAAGCGATTCAATACTAATTTGAAAGATATTTTATTTAATGTGTATCAAATGAGTCGCTTCGTTTTCTAGACACAATGCGTTGTTCGGTTTCTATGCACTGATACACTTACACCGGATCTAAAACATTCCTCTTCGTAGGTTTCATTGCGATTTCTACACAAGTGCAAACTAGGTATTCATATTTTAAAGTCTAATTTGAAGGTTCTTCTAGAAATAATTAATTAGTCTATTCTCGAATCGGGTAAATTCTTCCTGAACTTATATTTTGAACCTCTACCTACAGATTTGTAGAATAAGAATGATCGAGTCATATTTTTCTCATTTGGTTTCTTACTCTGTCTTACCTTATAAGCTAATAGTGATGTGATAACAAATACGGTTTGCCTAGACATTAAATATTATTTATTTCTACACGATTTACAATGTCTGCCTACGTACTACGACCAGCGGCTCAACCTACTTCAATCCATCACCTTTTTTATTGGACTTTCGACTTTATATCAAAGTAATAAAATTAAAAATCTGATCAATGTCGAAGTCCAGCCTGCCTATTGTATATTTCATTTAAACCTTGTTATTTTTGTTTGCAGTTCTTCGGCTACCTTGCGATGGTGCTATACGGAGGAGATGCCTTCCTCAAGTATCAAGCGCTGATGGCCGGCGAGCTCGCGCAGGGCCACCGCGTGCAAGCCAAGCAGACACACGTGACCACGCCCCCCGCGTTACCATAGCAACCTGGACCTAGGTAATTTTGGAAAATGTACATACATAGGTACTGTAAGAGATTGTATTTACTCTTATGATTGTATTGAATGCAATCTGAACAGGTACAGACACCAGCAAGTCAACATATACTTATTTGTAAAAAATATTCAATTGATTTTCAACCTTGTCTTTTGTAATATGGTCGAAAATTGATTGCAATATTTTGACAGCTTCGTCCCTTGATGAGCTGGTGTACACTTAGTTCTAATTAGCGGAAGTGTTCTGTAAATAAGTATCTAATCAACATCATGTATTGTCCAGCATCTCGGTTCAAGAATTATGAATGCTAGAAAAACGAGTTTTAGAATATAAGCGCTCAAGTAATGGACCAAAGTCACGATTCGTTATTCACATGTTAATATTTTTTTTTTTCAATTTTATGTTATTGGTCTGTCAGAACACGAGAGGAGGCAAATTGGTAAGAATCTAATAATCAATGATATTAATTTCGAGATTTCTAATTTTATTTTCGATATTTTATGAATTACTTATTAATCAATTTAATTTTGTTGATTTGAACCTTGATTGGTTTTCGAATACCTACTTACTGATTGAAATGATTTTAAATTAATTTACAAAGACTAGCTATAAGTATAATTTGTAAACACGCTTCAAAAGTTCAAATATTTTGCTCTAATTACGTGCAAATGACCAAAAATAATACAATATTAATTAGTGAATTTTAGTTTAAAATTGATATCATTTTAATTTTAAAAAGATAGAAGAAGACAGAGGAATCATTCTGTTTCTCATCCTTGGACATTTAAGTATGCAAGTCTACGTAGCGCTGATGTCTACACAGTTTTTGTACCTATAAAACCTAGCATTACGGGCTTAAGGGTAACCAGATCTTACTAAATTCATGTAAAATACGACTGGAATTAGATTTTACCCCATCTTAATCATAAATATCTGGATTAATCTTGGTTTTGACAGAAATTCATTAGGGAGGGCTGAGCTGATGTCGAAAATCGATCGCTAGATTGTAATTTAAAGATTTTTGATTGCAATCGGTTACTCATTTCGGCTTATGATAGCCTGTATGTATCTACGTAGATATGTGTTTTACAAACGCGTCTGGATAACGCTAAGTGTCGACCTACTTGTCCAAGGTCAGGAGAAGCAGTAATAAGTGTAAATATAATGTATTTAACCTATTTCCCACCAAGTTATGTAACCCAGTTTCTGATGGCTGTGACGTCACTAATCATGTGCAGTGCCGGTCATATCTGCAACACGATAAACTGGAAATAAATCGCGGGCATGCAGTTAAATACCAAATCCTGTCCGATTTTGATAGCATGTACATAGTTGCATTTTACGTTTTAACATTATTATTATTATTAGGTAATAATGTAATATGCTATATAGACGTTTTACCATGGTGTAATTTTTGGGAGAACAAAAAACTGTCGACATTTGGCACGCACATTTAAGTTCATGCTATTTTCAGATGTTACTTCATAAAATAATCTAGATATCTATGAAGTAATTATGAAAGAGCGTATTCCTTTTTAAAATGCCGGCAACGCACCTGTGACTCCACTGGTGTTGTGGGTGTCCATGGGCGGCACTGATCGCTTACCATCAGGTGATCAGTCTGCTAGTTTGCCTCCTATTCCAGAGAAATAAAGAAGTCTCTTCATATTATTATAGTTTAGTTACAATAAATGATATGTTGCCGACTTTTTGAGGGAGAGGAACCTTGGAATAACATACCGGCTGAAGTAAGAACCTCATCCTTTTTGGGAAGTCGGTTAAAAATAGTTGGAGGAATGATACATGACATGGTGAGAGCCATCAGATCCAGGGTATACTTGTATTCTTGTATATTAATGCTGCACAAAGGCTTTAAATACCTCATTGTGTACTTATTATATTATTTTATTATTGTTTTTGGACATTTTTTACTTAAGAATTGTAGATATGAGTGTTGGGTTATAAAGTGTTCAAAAATATAAATGTGTATGACTATTACTAATACTTATTAAATCTTATGATGTGTAGACATTTGTGATAATATTACATTAAGTACTAACTTATTTAATCATGTTTAAAACATTCATTATTATGTTATTATTGTTGTAAATAGTAATCAAAGATTGTAATCTAAGTTGTATTGATATTGATATGAATATTTGGGACAAAGGCGATGTTATGTTAAGAGTAATTCATATTATTATGTAAAAACTTACGAAAATTTATTCCATTTATATGATTTCATTTCTTTACGGACTCCGTGGTCTCTTGTCACTGGCGTAGTCAATTTACTCCAATCTATCCATATTTAACTTTATCACAAAACTATAAAATTGAAAACAAATACAGATTGGGGTAACTTGACCTGCTGGTTTCTGCACAGTTAACAAACAACTCTAGACTTTACCACGCTAGTTATAAGATTTCTTTTGTAAATTGTACAAGTATTATTCCGTCCACTGTTCTCCACTATGGCTTTGCTCACTTATTGTGTCAAATATAATAAATATTAATAATTATTATTGTTCTTATAATGTGTAATGCATGCTCATGTTTGTAATTAATGCTGTAATACACATTTTGAATATTTAAAATTTAATTAGCTCATTACTCCATAGTGCATATTAATGCCGAATACAGTGTTAGAAGTGGGTAAAAATTCTACTATGTATATTCGGAAATGAAGTTAAAGTTATATAACCTATGCTACAAATAATGCACTGTTTAATTTTGCACATACACTATCAGCTGTTTGCGTTACATACGTTATTTGAAAAACTTTCATAAAATTCCACATAAAGTTACGAACTTGTTGCTCACTGTATTTATACATAAAAATAAGAATACAACACGATTTCTAAAACACTTTTACACTAGCATTGTCTACAAATTCTTAGCAAAAGTAATATGTTTTGCTATGCCTATAAAATATTCCGGTCTGACCGACTTTTGTTAATATTTTCTTGATAATTATTGTTGTATGAAATAAAAGAACTGAAACATATTCACAGTGGTTTTATTGCGTTAACAGTTAGATATAGACATCAACACATTAATTAATAAACAACAGCTGGCTTTAGCCGTAAGAGATTATAGAAAGTACAATAAAAATGGGGACGCAGGTAAGGAATACTACCCTTTTGACTGCCACTGTCTTTTATAGCTAAACTAACTTATGCCAGCGGTTGCGCCCACGTTCTCGTGGGAAGTAACTTACATAAGTGTTATTTCAAATCATAAACTACTTCAGCTATGGTACTCTGTTACTGTTCGAATTTTGAAAGTGAGGTCGATCACATTCTCGCCTCTCATTAGTCGAGATTATTCTCCCAGCCAATGATATGGCGGACCGCGATAGAGTTCACTTTGATATTTCGAATTGAAAGTTAAGAATAGCCTAGCTGTTCCAAATTTCATCCTGATCGCTTCAGCTATTCTAATGTGATTGAATAACAAACATACATTTTCATATATAAATGTAAGAGAAATACATATATATTGTCAGCTATAACTGATCGTGGCGCTAAAAGGGTAATAGTTGTACTATACGAGGTCAAAGTAATTGGAAGAATACACCTCAATAATTCCTTTCCATTTTTGTCTATTCCCTCCACACTCAATGTAAGAAAGTTAATATAACATTCCTATTCGACTTGTTATGTTAACTTCAACATGTTATCATTGTCCTCGTAAACAGTTTACAAAAGTGCGATTTATCACTTAAAAATAAAATATCAATAAAAAGATTAACAATAATACTTAACAATAATAAAACTAATCAAAAAGAATTTACGATTTGAAAACAGATTATTAAGGCAACACATTTTACTGCGTTAAAACAGACAGACGAGAGCTATCGTTTTTGTTCTCATTAGAGGGCGCTGATGTAGTTTTTAGTCCTGTTCGTCTATTCGTAGAGGTAAAAAGTACACAGGTCAATAGTTTGACATTTTTCTCCCTAGCCTAGCGAGAAATTCCAGTGATAACTCTATTTACAACCTTGGTACATAAACAACGGGTAAATATCATATTTTACATCTAAATATTAATACCATTGTAATAACATCGCAATACAGGAACAGGTAAAATATTTTCGCATGTAATACTTAAGGTCTGTTTCACAATATCTGATAAGTTTTGGTTAGCCTAACTGACGCATATTGACGTAATTTTCATACGCAATAAGTCGGCTAAGCTAATAGTAACTTTTTTCTTAAAAAAAAAAAAACGTTGCCCCACACTAGATTATTTTCTCCTGTGTCGTGGGTGCGTTTACAAACATAAAAGTTGACATACACATCACACTCAGACCCGAAACAACAATTTGTGGATCACACAGTGTTGTTCCGTGCGGGAAACGAACCCGCGAGACGTTGCACTGCAGCAGTTATCAGAACATTAAGAAATAGGCCCTAAAAGTAACATTTAAATAAACTGACCAACAGTACTTGGTATATTTCTTGTTACAATGTTTCAAAGTTTTTAAAATAATATAAAAATATCTCTGTGAGACTTTAGATTGATTTATATAAAGTTAAATGCCCAAAGAGTTGGACCCCTTGTTAAGTATATCTAACCAAAATATTGGTGGGTTAACATGATTAGTAAAATGCTTCAAACTATACAATATACATGGCATATCAAAGTGCATTACTTTGTAAAGGTTTGTACAAATATCTTCAAAAACATGTTAGTTCAAAATTCAACAACTTTTCAAAATATTTACAATAATATTATTATTATTATATTTATTTCTTGTGCATAAGCTTTTACAGCATTCAATAATGAGGTTTATTTGTATCTATTTTCATTAATTTTTCTGATTGCATTATCTTTGTAACTATCATGGTTTCATCGTTACAATCAACCCCTAAAAATCCAAGTCTTTCGTTATCCAAAATTCTAAAATGACAGTCTTTATGTAAGTCATTGTTTACTTTGTCTATTTCTTAAGTAATATGTTTTAAATCCATGCGATTTTAAATCAGGGCTAGTGTCTATGGTAGAAATCCGTAGCTATGTCAGATATTTCTTAATTTTTCAACCTTATGATTTTTGTAATAAAGTTGAATGGTCGCGACTTCTAGCTTATTACAAATATAGGCACACTAACAAGGCACATCCATAGCATTGTGTGATTAAGTATAATTTTATGAACTGGTATTTAAAGCCGATACAAAAATATATGACTAAGACTATATTTTCTAAATTTCAATTTTTAACACCTTTATAAAATTGTGCTTGATGTGGGTCAGACATCATTATTTATAATAATTCTAATATGATTATACAACATGATTCTACTAACGAAAATCTAGTAATTTAGAACAAAAGCAAGTTCTTATTAAAAAAAAAATGTTGCTATTTTTATCGAAAATATTCAACAGTATAATATCAAATGAAAGATCTAATACTTCAGACAATATAGCGTAAGCTATACTTAACACTTGAAATGACTGATATAGACATGATAGAATATTTGATAAGTAAACTTATAATATAAAATAATTCAATACTCTTCGCTTAATCTTGTTAAGTCACAGTATGTAAATAAGACTAAATATGCACTGGGAACGTAACTTAGGTCTTAGAACCAACCTTTACCCATTCAGACCATTTAGAAGTGGAGTTAAGACCAGCTTTCCAACATCTTAAATGCAGCCATCTTGAAAAATAATCGTGATGAATGTATCAAGCCCAGTTGTTAGATTTGGTGGTAATAAGATCTCTTTTACTGAGGTGGCAGTCCTCGCTTCCATGCCTTGTACTTCAGGTATCCATCGAAGCTATATGCAATGATTGCACATAGCCCGAAGAACTGTAAAACAATAAACCAACATTAATATAACTGATGGATAGCCTTAGATAAAACTGATTGCTTAATTGAATTGCTAATTTAATTAGATTTAGATAATTATGTTTCTACATGTGAAAATATTAATAGAATTCAATCTGGCTTGTTAACTAAGTATTAGTGTGGTAAAACAAACTATTGCGATACATAAAAAAGTAAATTTGTTTATTTACGTACCCCAACAGCATATCCAACACTCTCTCCGATTGTTGAGGCAAATATAGAACATCCAATATATGTCAGACTCATTATGATACAATATGCAAACTCAAATTTGAGCCACGGCCATTTGTCCAACTTCTCTACGAAGTGGAATGTGTACATGAAGAGTAGCAGCCCTGTGATGATGATTCCGACCCAGTACAAGATATTGTAGAATATTGCGGACACCCATGACCATGATATTTTGATGCATATAAAACCTATAAGGTTGCAGGCCTGAAAATTTTAAGTAAAATTACTATCTTATCTTACGTCAGCTTTATATCTATATTTGTGATGAGTAATATAGCACTTGAAGACGATAATCTGTCACTCCAATGTCATAAGGGAATTTTATACTGACTTATGAAGAATGTGGAGCATACTCTTTTAATTTCAATATTAAATATAATAGTGACATACAATTTTAAATTCCATACAAAGCTTTCAGTTTTGCGTGGAAGTCTGTTTGTTCCCTGTAAAGTAGGGGGAGGCTTCTAATACATTATGTAGGACTTACACCGGATGTTTAATATCTTAAATGCTATATGAGGTCGTAATTCGTCATTATGCTTTATTTCATAAAGTAGCCATATCTTACCAACTGCACCAGTTTGAGTATCCCGGGCATTGTTTGTATGTAGCCCTTGTCAAATCGCACTACCTTTGTAGGCCCTTGTTGTTGTGGGGCTTCCTCATTGTAGTTCATTTTTGTGATCAGTTAGTTGCTGTAATAATAAATCATTTGCTATCAGACACATGTCAGAATACTGAAAGGCTACTAACTTTTTAGTTCTACTTAAATATCATTCTATCTCTGTCATTTTACAAATAAATTGGAGTGATGGAACTATAGCGCGACTTAAAATTGAATACCTAGTGTTTTAGTATTTGGGCAGAACACAAACTTTAGTACCCACATTAACTTTTCAGGTTAAATTTAATGAAATGGAATTAATCAATTGTTTTAGATATTTTCCTTCCTTTTATTAAACCTTACTGTCACCACCATAACATTTTTGTAGGAATAATATCACTGCATATAAAATGAGGACCAATGGCCACACCCACATTAACGTCTATTATCTAATAACAAGACTACCGCACTGTGAATGAAGAAAAATAATAAATATTAATTACCTTAATCGTCTGTATCGGAGAAATTAAGTGATTATTCAAAACGATGCAGTAGACTCAGTACCTTTAGTTTGTTCCGTATTGTAATTATTGATTTGTTATGTCGCAAAACTTATAAGAGTTAGGGCAAATCGAAAGAACTTAAAATGTTAAACCATTTACGCTTAGTAAGTAAACAACCAAATTAAAAATAATTAGCAAAAAAGACAAACCCGTCCGTGTTGTGTTAAACTTTAACTGTCAAACAAAGAACTGTCAATAGTGTCATGTCAATGTCAAAAACGAGATTCAATGTCAATGGCAAAAACGCCTTGTCTGCTTGATTGCTTGATTTCATTGCCATACCGAAAAACCAAATAAAAATATTTTATTTTCTTTTTTACTTTTTAAGTTGTTTAGTTTTATTTGCAATTATTATAATGAAAGATCTTAAATAATAAAATATCATAAATAAAAATAAATAAATCACCTTTGGTTGCTTGTCCATGGATTTCTGACATATGGTTGACAGTTGTTATTGTCAATAATGTCAAAAATGTCAGATTTACACGGTTTTCGGAATCTTTTTCATCAGTTTGTTGATCAGTCAATGGATGAATGGATTCAGGATGAGAGAAGGAAATCGAGAGCGAACGTGACGAGTGGCGCGAGTTGAGTTTCGTGTGCAGTGCAACAAAACTGACGGCGTAAAATTACATTTCTTCAAAGACTATGCAGAAACTACGCGTGTAGTACAGTGTTCAGTTAAAATATGAATCTCTTATGAAACTTACTTTGGAACTATAGTGAGAATTACCGACTTACCGGTTACTGAAGTAAACATTTGTGATTGTTGAATAAACTTTATGTGTAATGGGAGATAGAGATTGGAGACCATTTATTTACGGCGGCCTTGCGTCGATCGTCGCCGAATTCGGTGAGGAAACTAATTATAAACGTCCTGTGGATCATAACCTTAAAAAGTTATATCATGTAGATATCAATTCACAAGATTTCTAATTTCTTATTAATGACTTTTACTAATTCTTTTGAGAATTAATGATAGTACGGGATTGCTAAACAATATGATTTTAAGTTAATAAACCTTTTGCTGTAATACACTATTATAGTTGAAATTAATACTCCTTAGTATTCTTGTGCCCTGGCTATGTAAACTAAGTAAGCAAATATACTATGTGAGGATTATAGAAACCAATACTTACATTATTCATGACACAAATCATAAACTAAGAAAGAGAATTATATCTGTTATGAGGAGCTAGTTAATTAATTACCAAATGTTATGTACCAGGCACATTTCCAATAGACACAACAAAGACCCGCCTTCAGATACAGGGACAAAAGATAGACCCTCGACATGTGGAGCTCCGGTATACTGGCATGGTGGACTGCTTCGTCAAGACATCTCAGCAGGAGGGGGTCAAGGCACTGTACTGTGGGTGAGTATGCTTGAATGAATAATACATGTTCATAATAGGTGTAAGTGGATAGTACAATAAGTCATGGGTTAAGGTAGTGTGACCACACTGGGAGACCTCCCAGGGATTATGATATGATACATAAAAAAAATTGAAGATTCCTTATTACCAGTCTCATTAAAAAAATTGGAAGATTCCTGACTACCAGCCTCATTAAAAAAAAAATATGTTGATGTGTAAAAGTCCTATTTTGTAGCCTATTTACAAACACAAAAAGACTACTTTTCATCTATTCCTTGGTTTTATTATAATTATCACTGTTTTATTACTACACACTAGAAATTGAATTAATAATTTACTTGGCAATAGTTAAAGTAACATTTTGGACCTGATAATGTATCAACAATCTTGTATACATTGAAGCTGTTTATGACAGTAATCTAGATAGCTTATTTAGTCTTGTCTGTATGTTGTAATCTTGCAATAACATTAGCTGCATTGAAAATGGCAAACATTTGCATCAGCTAGGAAAAACAACTTACAATAATTGCTATAGATGTTTATAAAATCTTATTAGGTATTTATTGTTCATCAATGTAGTTATATCTAATTTGCAAGAGGATTAATACTTGATTTTTTGTCTGTTTATGATAAACTAGCTGTTGCCCGCGACTTCGTCCGCGTAGAATAATGACTTCTGGCAGAATTTAGGCTTTTGAATTAGTTTTTATCAAGGGATATTCTACGGTAATGGATGTCGTCAGAATTGATTCAGTCCCGTAGATGATAGAGGGGGTGGAAATTATCAAAATCCTTTCTTAGCGAATGTCTACGTCATAACATCTATCTGTATGCCAAATTTTAGCCCAATCTGTCCAGCGGTTTGGGCTGTGCGTTGATAGATCACTATGTCAGTCAGTCAATCAGTCAGTCAGTCAATCACCTTTGAATTTTATATATATAGATAGATAGCAGTCAGCCCTGCCAAACTTGACAGTTATGAATTACGTAATTTATATTTTTTGTACACTAAACATCCATTTAACTTTAACATAAATTATATTTTGTTTCAATGCTGCAAAATCTCAAAATATTTGTCAAACTACAACTTACAGTTTTTGTAGCAAATGAGCATAGTAATTTATAAAATTTGAAACTGAATTATTATGGTCATATCAGTTCTTGAAGATGAATGACATTACAATATAAGAATAACCATCAAGTTGGTTCACAATGAGATATTTAAAAGAGTTAAAGATCTAACTTCAAGGTATAGGGCTGTATAGAGGCTGTTATGAATCGATAATACCTACTGCCTTACTCCCGATACTTATATCGATAAGTGGTCATTGATAAGCTGGCCCACGCGTCGATACTATTGTCAAACGCGTTCAGTATCGCGTTTGAGTGCAAAATAGCGTGCAAAACACTGGGATACGCAATGTATTGAATCATGCGATAAGCCAGGCCGGCCCCTGTGCCGTGCTAGTGCCGTCTGTTATCTGCTGACGAAAACAAGCAAACATATATTTATTCTTATTACAGTCTTTCTAGCTGTGTATTTGTTGGATGATTTTTATTGGGCAAACATTTCGGAACTAATGCTTGGTTTGTTTATTTCGCGAGATTAAATATTTGTCAAATTTTATTAAACTTTAAAAGTAAGTAGTTTATACAAAGTATCTATAGTAAATTAATCTATTTGAAGCAGTAGGTAGATAAACTTAACATGGATATTATTGTAATCAGATAGCGTAAAAATGAGTTTGATAGGCAAATTTTCTTTCTATCTGTCCTTATCTTTGTTTGTTTGTTCTTTATTTGCGTAGAATAATGTGAGCGACCTTTAACGTGACTAGCCTGACGATTAGTAACGACGTTCGCAATGTCGCGGTACAGGATGTCGAGAAGTAATTTTGTAAATTGCATTAGCCTCACTGAAAGTTAATTTGAAATGAATTACAATTTCTTAGCGAGCGGAAAATTGTATAATCGAATGGTCAAGTTATTTTTAATGCGGCTGCTTTGAAAAAATCGTTTTCCAATGAAACAAATTACCTACTAAGTATTCACTAGGTTTATCGGGTATCCAATTCAGTAGGTATACAATATGGCAGAAGGTACACACGGGATGCATACACGGACTCATAGCCATAATATAGCGACAGATGGGTGTGACAATTACTAAGTGTATTGGCTTCGTGGAATACACGCCATGCTGTTGTTATGGTCAAACGTCCACCTGTTTACCTGCCACTCCCTTATTTAATAATGCGTAGTCAAAAGAATTTATAGCGAAGTCAATTGAGCAAAGAGTACTTAGTACTTCCTACCGTCCTTGGGATAAAGAAAATCAATAAACACTGAATTTTCATAAATCGTCTCTCTTTCGACCTTCGCGTGACTCCACAACCCATCGCCACGCAGTCTCTGGTCTTATGAATCATTACGTACTTGCCAAAAAATTATTTACTGCTGCGCATTTCGCTAAGAAAGAATGTCAATTTACATATTTTTACAGTCATGACATTCTTTTACAAATCATGGCAACTTTAATAACTATCTTTCGTCATGTCGTACAAGTTTCTACTTTTATCTGCAATTTATTATCCAATTGGATAGTCAAGGTCATCTTCTGATTGTAGAAAATCATTTCTAGTATCATTACAAAACATCGTCTACTCTTGTATGAAAACAAACAAATGACGCATTTCTACGTTTTATTTGTTAGTAAGAATATTGCAACACACTAGCGTGGTAGTAATTACTCTCTTTGTTATACGAATATCCTTTAAATGCACTTTATATTTGGCATACAGCTTTTTGTTGACAAAAAGGTTCACTCCTCTCAGTAATCTAAATGTATTTAGTATATTTGAGTACTTCTTAAAAATAAATTCTGGAAAAAACGTGTCGCTTGTGCACATCCATAGATTAGCACAATGTACACAAAACGAAGGTTATTTACAAGCAGCAAACTAGGACGCATAAAAATAGGCATTATCTAGAAACACAGCTCTTAGACAATAATATAGCTACATAACATATGTATAGGTACACTACTTTTTGGCGAATGTTCAAAATGTTTGAGTGATGTTTATTGCAGATAAATTGTTAATTAGAATGTTTTACACAAAACTGA